TTTCAGAGTCACTTTGCGTGTGGATCCTTTGTTTCATCCCGCATCCAAAAATGAAGACTCTTGGAGGCCATCCTATGGAAGATGGCCTCTAAGTAGGTTGAAAGAGAAAGAAAGAATCTTATATCATTTATACTTTTGAGTACCTAATAGATATCTGATCTATCATATTTCCAAAATAGAATTCTTCATCTTATATTTCTAGTTTTAACAATCTAAATAAAACACTTCATTGTCAAAAGAAAAGAATAGAATTCTTAACGCCCCCTCCACTGATACTGTTAGTTGTTCCCATGTCAATAATGTAACCACCAACTCCTTAGTTACTGAAGCCAAAAATCTAGATGTTATCCTTAGTTTTAATGATTTCAATCTCCCTGCCCACTTGGATCCTGAAATCTTTGGAGCCTCTGTCTGTGCTTATTATTATTATCTTAAATTATTTTTTTGGCTGCGTTGGGTCTTCATTGCTGCACGCAGGCTTTCCCTAGTTGCGGTGAGCGGGGGCTGCTCTTTGTTGCTGTGCACGGGCTTCTCATTGCAGTGGCTTCTCTTGTTGTGGAGCACGGGCCCTAGAGCACGCAGGCTTCAGTAGTTGTGGCATGTGGGCTCAGTAGTTGTGGCTCGTGGGCTCTAGAGCATAGGCTCAGTAGTTGTGGCGCATGGGCTTAGTTTCTCTGCAGCATGTGGGATCTTCCCAGACCAGGGATCCAACCTGTGTTCCCTGCACTGGCAGGCGGATTCTTAACCACTGTGCCACCAGGGAAGCCCCTGTCTGTGCTTTTTCTCACCTTCGGGCTTTGTACCTTCCACGCTTCTCTGGTAGTGCCCAGGGCCTGGAACATTCGCCTATATGGAAGCTGAGTGCCAAGCTGTCACTTGGCTCCAGATTCTTCTTTCTTTTTAGGAGACTACTTCTCCCTGTTTTGGGTTTGCAATGACAACGCACCGCACCCCTCCCCACCCCACAAGATATCCCTCTGCTTACAAATTAATCACGTCACACTCACCTTACTTGGGCTATCAAGTGTATACTCCCATAAAGCACAATGTGTATTAGTCTGAACTTCACCTGTAACATACTCTTGAAAGATAACCTGCATGCACAGGAAGACTTTGTAAACTGCAAGATATTGTGCAAATGCTGGCTTTTCTTATTGGCTTAATTCTTGAGTCCTAAGACTTCACAGGGACTCCTCGGCACCTTCATGGAGGGATCAGAGCTTCCCCTCTCTCTTCACCCCAAGCGGCTCGACTTTTATCTCTTTTATGTTCTGCTGCTAAAAAGTTTGAAAATCACTGACTTCATCAAACACTTGGCTTATGCATTAATCTCCTTTACAACATCTCTTACAGTTGGTTGTCCAGCCTTTGCTTGAATACGTCCAGTGACAGGGAGCTCATTACTTTAGGAAGTAGCTGTTTTAAGACCGTTCTATTTTAGTTCTGTTCTATTTTTGGAAAGTTTGTTTTGTTGTTCTTGGTTCATGATTCTTTAGGCCAAGAGAGAAGAAATACTAGCTAACCGATTCCACAGCTGGGTCCTGGTTAATTAAGGCTTTCCCCTGTAAATATTTTTTATGCACGGATAATCATTCTAGGCATTTTGTTGATTCATGCCCTTATTTTATGCCCTTTCTGAGTAGAGATGAGTGTAGGCATTTTGCCCATACCCCACCCTGCCCCACTTTCACTTTTACATCTTAATAATGAGATATAACCATAAAGTGACTCTGGGTTACCACAAGCAATTCAGCAGGCAATACAGTAGCTTCTCCTTACCCAGGGTATCACCTTCTGTGGTTTCACTTACAGGCAACTGCAGACTGAAAACATTAAGTGGAAAATTCCAGAAATAAACAATTTATAAGTTTTAAGTTGCTGTTCTGAGTATCATGATGAAATCTCCAGCCATCCCACTTCATCCCACCTGGGACGTGAACCATCGCTTTGTCCTGCCTGTTAGTCACTTAGTAGCCATCTGGGTTATCAGACTGACGGTCTCTGTTATCCCGGCACTTGTGTTCAAGTCACCCTTATTCTATTTAATAATGGCCCCAAAGCACAAGAGTACTGATGCTGGCAATTCAGATATTCTTTTACTGTGCCTAATTTATAAATTAAATTTTAGCATAGGTATGTATGTATAGGAAAAAACATTATATATGTAGAGTTCAGTGCTACCGGTGGTTTCAGGCATCCACTGGGGGTCTTGGAACGTATGCCTGGTAGATGTGGGGTGGACTGTGGCTCATGAGATGTGGGACTGAGATAGGGACAGAGAAAGGGACAGGTGTGTATTTTTGAGGTCCTACTCTGTGCTAAGCCATCATATATTTTTTTATATGCAATGCTTACAAAAATCAATCATAGATGTAATTATTTTGAAGCCCAGATACATTAGAAAATGGTATAAAATTCACAGGTCGTAAGGAGTGGCGTTGGGATTTCCAGGACTCTCTGATTCTGCAATCTGAGTTCTTTCCTCCGCTCCAGAAGATAATTTCCTTTAATAACTCTGGCCACTCCCACCATTGTCATTGTATCGTTATAAAAACACACAGTTTTGCAGTCATTAATGTCTACTTAATAATTTCTCCTGACCTCAGTTTGCTTATCTGCAAAATGGGGATAATAATCATAGCTTCATCACAGGGTAGTAATGAGTAAAAAGGCAATTACAAATTATGCACTTGGTGTCTGCCTGGTACATAGTTAGTACGCATGGGCTATATGGTCACTTTTGATTGTTAGTGTTATCCCATGCCAGGCCCTTCCCTGAGGCAATTAGGGAGCACAAGGGCATTCACACATGCATAGCCGAATGAAGAACTAAAGGAAAAAACTTGTGTGTGTTGGAATGTTAAATCCCTTTTATGCCTAGGAGCCTGGCTGATATGTCGGATCGTGAAGCCAAGGGGCAGGGTGCAGGCATGGGGGGTAGGGGCCGTGAAGGTGGTTGAGGGGAAACACTCTAGCTGCTTCCAGACTAAGAAGGACTCTGGAGGGTGCACATACCCTGCCTTCAACTCTCCAGACATGTGGATGTCAGCGGGGGGCAGCCCACTTGATAGGCATGTCAGGCTGGTGCAAAGGCATCACCGTAGCACGGGTTCTATCCGCTCTCTATTCGTGACCTCCTGATGGGGGAAACAAATCCACTGAACCAAGTAAGATTAAGCTGCAAACCCTGGCTCGGGATGCTCGTAAAGCAGCCGTCTCCCTGCTGGTTTCACAGATTGTGGTGCCGAATCCCAAGCCCAGGCTGTCCCACCGCCCAGGCCGCTGAGCACCACACACTCCTCTAATGTATCACAATTACCGAGACAGCTGTGCTAAGTAACTTTCCACGGATCTGCTCTGAAAACGTTCAGCGTGTTCAATAGCCCTCAAAATTTGTCATTTGGAACCTGCGGTGAGGTGGTATGGTGGTGCTCATACTGAGCTGTGGCAGAATAAATACAGTCACCTCACGAGATTGTATGTTTCCTTTGAAGTGGAGCGCATGTAAAAGAGTTGGGTTCTTTCAGCTTCGATTATATCTCAGTTTAGCACATCGAAAGGGAAGGAAGGGAAGTTGCAAAGACAGCACAGGTGCGAGAGGCTGTAGAGCTGGATCATGTACATCGCCCAGAAGCAGGCGTGTGCTTTGCTGGGAACATTATTTTGCATTTGCAAAGCAAGGATCTGCCCAGGCATCCTGAGAGGGCCCCGTACGTGAATTGCCCATTAGCACTGCCGGGGGTGCTGGGCGAGGTGCCCAGTGGCAAACATGGCTGGTGACAGAGTGGGGAATGTCGCTAATCTCTGAGGACATCCTTAGTAGGACTCAAACACCCCTCACTTGTCTCTCGTGAGTGGAGCTTTGGAGCCCAGGCTGCTGGAAAGAAGCACTAATTATTTACCCAGAATACACTCCAGAAGCTAACCCAGATCTGCAAAATGCCTTCTGTTATTATCAAGAGCACCGCTTCTCAAATCCCAGCTTTTGCACCTCAGAAAGAGGTGAAAATGAGATGGGAGGGAGGTGGCAGCTCTGGGGGCTCCGGGCACTGCTTCCTTGGAAGCCATTCATCCCTCCTCTGGGGAAGGCATATCAGCGCTTCTCTTTCAGGTGATAGATGAGGGCGGGGTACTAATGACAGCCCCGTTCTCTCTGAAAGGCCCACACTCCAGTTAAAGAGAAGGCTGTGAATGAAGGTGAACGAAGCACTATTGGGCAGGTGAGGAATTGTTGAACAGAGCCCAGGAAGAGGCTGAGTGTCTGTAGGTTCCTCTAAGGAAAGCAGAGTTCTCTCCTGTTTACTCAGGTGCCAGAAGTGGGTTCCTTAGTCTCAGTGGCTGTTTTGCCCTTTGAAGGCGCCCTGGTTGGTTTATCACACAGGATAGTAGCAACTTCACCCCGTGGGTTGGGTTGCCCTTTCTTGGGGCAGGGGAGAAGGGTTGCTGACATACAAGAACTTATTCCAGCCTCCTTTGGGACAGGCGTTAGATCAGCAGCAACTAGAAAACCACTAAAGTCATCCATCTTCTGACCGCCATCCTCCTTTCCAGCTGAGCTCCCGGATATTCCCTCCATTCAGGGGCCTGGACTCTTTCCTCCCTAAAGATGCCCTGCTTTTGTTTTTTTTAACATCTTTATTGGAGTATAATTGCTTTACAATGGTGTGTTAGTTTCTGCTTTATAACAAAGTGAATCAGCTGTACATATACATATGTCCCCATATCCCCTCCCTCTTGCGTCTCCCTCCCACCCTCCCTGTCCTGCCCCTCTAGGTGGTCACAAAGCACCGAGCTGATCTCCCTGTGCCTTGCGGCTGCTTCCCACTAGCTATCTATTTTACATTTGGTAGTGTAGATATGTCCATGCCACTCTCTCACTTGGTCCCAGCTTACCCTTCCCCCTCCCCGTGCCCTCAAGTCCATTCTCTACGTCTGCGTCTTTATTCCTGTGATGCCCTGCTTTTGAAACACTCCACGCCATTTCATGTCTCCTGCTTTAGCTTGTGTGGTTCTATCTGTCAGCAGGCAGAAGCCTTCCTCCCCTGCCTACCTGAGCATCCTGCAGGGCGCGGCTCAGCTGTCGTCTCCGTGAGTCTGCACCCAACCCCACAGGCACACTAAGTCATGGAAGCGTTTCCATGGTGCTTTGAGCTTACCTGGATTGTGTTGCCTTTCACATGTGCTCACGTTACCTATTCACCTGTCTGTCTGTTCTTTTACCTTGTTAACTCCTCTAGAGAAGGACCTGTGTCTTATTTATTTTTGCATCCTCAGGGCCTCCAGATGGTAGACACCCACTGAAAGTTTTGGGAAAGAAGAAATGCACAGTCGCTTCTGCACTGGGTATGAGTCCTGGCTGTTCTCCTATCATGCTGTGTATCTTTAATTAAGATATAATGTGTCACCCTTCCTGCTTCTCATCTGTTAGGAAGAAACGGGTGTGAGAACGGTACAGACCTACCTTAGGGGACCTTGTAAGAATTAGCAAATTCGAGGCTTACGCAAATGTCCCTTTCAATGGCTGCCAGACCTTGAGACGAAGCTGAGCTTGTGATTGGGAAGCATCCGGCTGCTTCAGTCCACTTAGGAGCAGATAATCAAATGCACAGTCTCTCTGACAGCTGCAGATCACAGACACCACTAAAAAAGAAATGGTCATAGTAGCAGGTGACAAAGAGAGAGGCAAGCCTTCTGAGTGGCCAGTTAGTACCGTGAGGAACACTACGAAGCCACGGAGGCCTTGCCCGGAAGGCATGGCCAACTGCTACCCTTGGCTGTGGGCGGGAGCGGCTGGGAAAGAGAGGGCTTATGCAGACAATCATTTACATTTTATTAAAAATAATTGGAGAAGTTTACAGACATTTCTTGCCAACATGCAACTGTCAGGCATGGGTGGAAAAGAAGCCTCCTCCCAAATTGCGAGAGATTCTAATGTTGTGGCAAAAAAATCTGGAGTCTCATGATTAAATGTGGAGAGCTGTCATCTCGGCATTATATTAAAATAACTTGCCTCCGGCAAGTGCGCGGTATTTCTTCCCTTAAATCTGTCATTTTTCGGGAGGCCATTGCTCCGGTTGGCTGCACCGGTGGCTTTGTATCCATGGCGGTTTAACAGCAACTGGGACATTCAGAGGCTTTCTGGGGGCAGGGAGGGGGCTGATGCTTGGGGCGGGGGCTCATTCACTGCTGCTTGGCTGCAGCAAGCCACCTGCAGACCTCTTTCCCCGTGACTTAGTGGGGCTCTCCGGCATCCGAAAGCTTAAGCAGAACACAGGCAGACACATCATTTTCAGCAGAGCTTCTCAGACAGCGATGTCAGGCTGCAGGCAGAATGAGTTGCATTTGTTTATGGAATCTGTTGCTTAATTGGACGATCAGTGTCTCATTTCAGCCTCCAGTCATGACACTTTTAGTGATGTCCACACTGTGCTGCTTTTCCATGCAAACCGCGCAGGGGGCAGAACAACGGAAAAAGCTTCCCTTGGCGGAAGGGAAGGGCGATGCTGTCTCTGCTCCGTCTGTTAAATGCAGCAGATGGATCTCTGCATGTGTCTCTTCCCTCTTGCTTTTGCTTATGAGGCCGTTTAGCCTCCTTACCTAGTCAAATGTTTTCTGGGGATCCCAGGGTAGGCCCTCCTGCTTCCCTGCTTCCCTGACTTCTGCATATCATATAGCGGACAAGCTCCCCAACTCTTGAAATGTTCATGATATTAACACTTCAGTTGGTAACACCTTTTGGCTTTTGGAAGCACATTCGCATCTGAATCCTACATGTCCCTAACAGAAGAGAGCAGAGTGGACTCAAGGGCAGTGGTGGTGTATATTTGCCAGTCTTCATGGTTGGCAAGCCCTGTCGACACACACTGTGGCTGAGTTTGGTGTTTTTTTTTTTTTTTTTCTGAGTTTGTTTTTGATCCTTATCACGGTTAGCCCCATAACACAGGTGAGAAGAGTAAGGCGGAGGAGACAGAATCACGGTCAGTTACTAAGAGCGTAGGGTTTGGGCTCACGTTCGTTCTGTGGCTTAGTTCTGTGTGACCTTGGACCAGCTACTTAACCTGTCAGAGCTTCGATTTCTTCCATAAAATAGAAGCAATCATTACTTCCTCAGAGGTTCTTGCGAGGATCAAATGCGATTGGGCATAAGTAAAGCATTTAGCACAGAGGCTGTTTGACAGCTATTATTATTAGTGATGGTATTACAGAAATCAAGATTATGAGGGTTGGCTGAAGGCCTGCTTCCTGGAGAGCCTCGTTCTCACACCTTTCTTCCCTGCCCTGGCTGTCTTTCCAAATGCCTAAGAAATGTGCAGATTTTCCACCTTTCAGCAATTCCAGAGACAGCCGGCAAGGATATAAAAAGCAAGTGAAGAGCCTGCAGAAACGCAGGTGCAGCTTGGGGTCCCTCTGCTAAAAGTGCAGCTTTTCTTCAAAGCCCTTAAATGTCACCTTGCCTCGCTCGGCCCGGCTGGAAACGCCCGCGCCATTGCCTCTTCTGCCCAGGGGTGACGTCGCCGGAGTCATCTGAGTCTGAGAGAGGGATTCACCTTGACCTTCCTCTTTCCCAGAAGAAGACATGACACAAATGAGGCCATCAAAAGCAGCACGGTTCCTCCCCCTCGGCATGTCTCAAAGCCCTCACTCTGACCCCCATCGATCAGCCATAAAACACAAAATCAACAGAGTTCTGCTTTTCTATTTCATGCAGAAAAAATCAGCATTGACCAGCACGGTCAGCCAAGCTCACGGAAACAGCCAGTAAAAATGGGAACGTCTACAGACTCCTCTCTCAGATCCTCTTAAGCTTTGTCTTTGTCCTGGTCCCGGATGACAGCTGTGGGGCAGGGCAAATCCTGCTGCTAAGTACTGAGTAGGAGAAGTGTTCACTGTCGTTCCCACGCAGAAGGTGCTTTGAGGGACTCAGTGACTGACAGCCTGAATAAGCGGTTATTTCTCCTGGCTCAGGCGCGGGGACACAAGAAACCCCCTGCCTGACCTTACGCAGCTGAGCTTAGCACTCTGGGGCCAGCTCGCTGCCACCATTACCTGTTAAGGTGAAAATATGGTCGAGTTGATGGGGGTTGAAGCTCTGATCATGTTACTCTCTCGCTGAAATAATTTTTGACTATGCTCCACGTTCTCCAGGGTCGGGTCAAATGCCTTCCCCTGGCATTCGTGGCTTATCACAATCTGACCCCAATCTACCTTCCCAGTTGCTTCTTTGATTACCAGGCTTCACGGGTCCTGTGATGCAGACAAGCTGAACCGCTCTCTGAATCTGCCCCATACTTTCCCATTTCTGGGTTGTTGCTTCCGTTGGTCCTTCTCCTGGGATGCTCATTTTCCTGACTGTCCACGTCTGTCTTAGTCTGCTAGGGCTGATGGAACAAAATACCATTGACTGGGTGCCTTAAACAATAGATATTTACTTCTTGCGATTCTGGAGACTGAGAAATCCAAGATCAAGGTCCAGCAGATTTGGTTCCTGACTTGCAGACAGCTGCCTTCTTGCTGTGTGTGCTCATAAGGTGGAGAGAGAGACAGCTCTGGGCTCTTCCTGTTCTAAGGACACTAAGCCCCACGCTCATGACCTCATCAACGTCTAAGTACTAACCAAAGGCCCCACCTGCAAATATTCTCATGGGGGGTTCGGGTTAAGGCTTCAACGTATGAATTTGCGGGGGACACAGACATTCAGTCCATAACAATGTCTAAATCCCATCTATTCTTCAAGCCTCATTTAAAATACAACCTCTTCCATGAAGAGTTCTCTGTTTCCTCCAGCTATAAATAATTCTCCATCTTCTCAACTGCTGTAACTCTTTGTGCATAAACCTATCAGGGCAGTTATGTTTTCTATTGTGTATTATGGTCTTGCATGTGTTTTGTTTCCTCTACTACATTCTGAGCTCCTTGAGGGCAGGGGCCATACCTTTTCTCTTCTAGGAATCACTAACACTTAGCCCAGGGTCCCTGAAGTGCAATTAGTAGTGAGAGCTTGTCATTAAGTAAATAGATGCTCCCATCTGCAGGAGAGCCTCGAATGAGCAAATGCAGGTCTTGTGTTCATGACAAATGTATTGGTGAGGCCAGGGTCCTTTCTGAAGGCCACATGCCTGGGTGGCTGTTAAATATATAACACCCGGTTTGAGGGATTGACTCAGTATGTTTTTCTTTAAGGGGATGAGTTGTATCCTCCCATACCAGTGAGGAATCTTGTGGTTGCACGCACACACACACACACACCCACACTTATATGGAGATGATTTGGCCAAACTCTCTTGAGAACAATCTGCTCTTATCTCCTTGGTGCAACTTTTGTTCTTAGTATAAAAAGAATCCATAAACAATATTTAGAAGATGTTAATGATTCTAACTCTTTATATTGACTCCTGAACATACACTGAGACCTGACATTGGACCACGGGCCCAAAACATCCTAAAAAAAGGCATCATCCTTCCAGGAGAACCTGACTGTTACATACCATCTTCCCAGGGGTTGGCCTTTCAGAACACGTGAAGGCTGGCCAATGATCGTCGCCTCTACCACCACCACCAACAAGTCTATCCATCTTATATTCAGAGGGACTTCAATTATTAATTTTATTTACAGCATCCGTTCTGTATTCTCCTGGGCACGCACACTGAGACCCAGAATGCTCTGGTGCCTTCGATGTGTTCTAATTTGTACTGCCAAGGAAGGGTGACCTGAGTATTGTTATTCTCTGGAGTGAAATAATTAATCAAAATACACATTCCTGTGGCAACCCACAAGTGGAACTTCATTTAAGGACTGTGAACGCAACATTCTCTGGGAAGCTGTTACTCGGGCCACGCTGGGACTGCTCCCATTTGCATAATTGCAGATAAAGCCTGCATATTTAAATTATATATATTTCCATTTCATTAATGAAACACCACTGAAGTTCAGGAGGGAACCTGTAGGTTATCCTGGCTACTGATTCCCTGGCACCAAAAAGCAACCCGGGCATAAAAGCAACAGAGATGACCTTTAGCTACAAGGGTTGCAAGTTATGTTACTAGTCATCAGGGCTTGAAACCAAGCACCAGGCACCGGGCAGAATACA